ACAAATGAAACGTTATGTTATATCAAGTTAATGAAATCAAGAAACAGAAGATAATTATATTAATTGCAAAAGAAAAAAAATATGCAGATACAAATAGAACAAAATGTAGTGTATGCAGATACATATAGAACAAAATTTAAATTTTAATATATCTGATTCGTGTTTGTCGGTTTTACATAAATATGCATGGCCATTAAAATATCGCTAACTTTTAAATAAAAGCTATTTTAAATAAAAGCTAATTTTTAAAAATAACGAAAAAAAGGAGGAGAGGATATTTGATATACAAGATGCAGTGTGGTGAAAGATAGCTAATATTTTTTCTTCTTTTAAACTTCTTTCTGACTTTATAATGCGGATTTCCAACAGTGTGCAGTGCGAGATACAATAGACACAACGTTTAGCTAAATTTAATCAAAAGTTGAACAAATTACATAAATCCAATAATTTTGAAAAATATTTGTAACAATTGTAATAATTTGTTCGAAAGGCGCAAACACATCTATTCTGGCTCGAAAGCCTTATTCCGGAACATATTCAAAATAATTCATGTGGCTGATTCATTATTATCGTAAATTCGTTCGATTAAGATTGACGGACATTGACCATAACATAAAGAATGAACGTTTACGGGAAGTGAAACCTCCGACCGTTCGAGGAGAATGTCGTTGTCGGGAGTTTCTCTCACCCCTGTCTTTGTTCTGTAATTCCCTGTGCTGCCTTCGCGTCGCGCACTTAACCCATTTTGTCTCGAGATCCGGCCTACCCGGAAAATACGAGCCGGTCGCGGGAGAAGAGAGCTTAACGATCCGCGGACTCTCGACCGATTATGGACCGTTTTGCGATGGAGTGCGGAAGCGGACACACGCTTTAATGCGCATTATAATGCGCTCGCGGAAAATCGGGGCGGACAAGGCGCTGCGATCTTTCTCTCTCGTGATGATTTTTCTTCTCGAATGTGCCCTGAATCCCGGACCGCACTGTGTGCTTAAATCGTACCGTTTCGTTATAATAATGCGCCGCGCACGGGCCAGGAATTTATCGACGTGCTGCTAATGCGTCATTATCTCGCGCGCGCAAGAGGAATCGCCTAGGACGCGCGACAAAAATCTCTTTGCATAGCAAAAATAGCGCGCGACGCAATCGCTACGGAGGCCGTCACTTAAACTGGGTTAATGATCGCGACAAGATGATTTATAATGATTAAGCCGTCCCGTATATACTTAATATTCGTATGGTGCTCGAGGGTTGATTTTTCAGTGCTTTAGAGCGTAGTAAATTACACGAAGCAGTAATTTCTAATATCGATTTTTTAGCTAGCGTTAAGGTGTTAAAATTTCTCTAAAGACATGACATAAATTGTGCGAGTATAACGTTCATAGAATGACTCAGCACTGCTGCCGCTTTTCATTCTAACGATAGGTCGTTTGATGAATTTAAAATCGATTTTTCATAAAACGGATTTCCCGGAAACTGTCATTTGTCGGGACGCTTCAATATCCGGATAAAATTATTATCGTAACGTAATATAAACAATGATATAAAATTTTTAAATAAAGAAAAAAATAAATTGTTGATTGCATGCGCTACACGTTCCTTTAAAACTCGAAATTTTTAAAGTGCATTATATTCAGTTAAATTATGCACTGATTCTTAAGAGAGAATTTCAGCATTGAATGAATCATTTGCCAGGAAAGAAACAGCACAACTCTTCTGACTGACTTAATCGAGGCACCTTTAATTTTCTTGATTTACTCAGGTCTTAAACGCTCGACTTCATGGAAGAGCTCTAGAGAATCGGCGAGACGACTTACGGCGTCGAAACTGGAATTTAGACATAGACAGAAGCAGGATTATTGAACTTGAAGTTAGTTCAGTAGAGATTTCGAGTGATTCTTATAGATCCGAAATTAAAACTTTTGACGAATATTCACTTCTTTTTCTTGATGATTTCTAAAGATTTTTAATTGCAAAAATGTATTACAAAGGCGCATATATTAAATATTAGTTTATTAACGAATTATAAATATCCATTTATATAAAACTTATTTCATTTTGCAAAGTTTTAGAATATACAGATAATAAAATTTTATTTTTTTATACATGAAAAATGTATATTAATTAAAATAATAATATATTAGAGAATATAATTTACGAATATAATTTACGCCGCGATACGTGAGTGTCATTAAGCCTTTCTCAGATTTTCGTCTCGCTGATTCTCTAGAGCTCTGTCATGAGGTAAGACCACTTAATACACCACAAATACGAGTGACAGAACATAACATGAAAAAAAAAAATGAAATAAGCAAGTGCACCCAGTAGGAACAAGGTCGAAACTCTCTGGCCTCGTCGTAGAATGGCTCTGGCTAATGTCAAGATAAATACGATTTCCTGGAAACGAAATAGGGAACGAGAGGCGACGCGGGAGGCGCAAGAAGAAAAATATTGTTTGCCGCGAAAACTGGGGCGCACATCCTGAAGAAGGACGTTGGTAGTGGTTCGATCATGATGGCGGGGGTTGAAGTGGAAGAAGCCAAAAGCTCGGCTCTCATGTCGGAGTAGCTTGCCAAAATTTCCAAGGCGTAAGGTTCGTTTTTAGAGCGGAATTAAGCGGAGGAAGCTTTTAAAATAGGGTTACTTAAATCAGGTCACACAAGGATTCTCTTGCATGACCCGAGAGAAAAGCTCAGCTAAGTCTATAATTCGCGATCCGTTTTTCGATGTATTTTCAGTAATGGACATCATTACTTATTTGCACATATTTTTGTAGAAAAAGAGCGCGTTTTTCTACAAATTGAAAGCAACTAAGAAGCTAAACTATTTTAAAAATTTGAAGGAATCTAGGAAAATATCATCTTATATATGTACGATTCTCTTTAAATTTATGTTATAATTCTGGCAGAGAGGAATACTCTTTAAAGCACCTTTTTATTTATGCGAAATTGAAAGTAGAAAGTATGAAAAGAGTTTGTTGCTACGACCTTCAAACTTTTATACCCTTAATAGACATTGAATTCACCCTGCAGTAGCTACATTAAATGCAAATTTAAAGAAGTAAATATGCAAACAGAACGATCGTTATCACATTTTTACGAAGCTCGCCGCGGAGCAATTATTTTTGATATATTCGCGATCACTCGTTTATCGAACACTCTTGAACGCGCAGATTCTCTAAATTTCATTCATTAACGGAAGACCTCGACAGTCAATGTTCATGTTTCTATTCCATATATTGTCGAGCTTTCGCAACTATTTTGGGAAATTGGTAGATCGACGATCGGGGTCAATGTTGCTGTCGCGATCGCTCAATGTCTGACACATAGCTTTAGGTCAACGAAGACAACCTCAGGAGCTCGTTATCGTAGATGAATTCAATGCATCGCGGACGACATCGAGCGATAGCGAATTCAAGCGATGTCGGCTTAGCCGTGTTCGGACCATCCATCTTGCTTCGGACGTTTGTCCTCCCGGTAATGTCTAAGATATCGGTCCAAGGAGGCATCGATGCGGGTTCTATCGACGGAAGTTGCGCGTCTTTCTATAGTTACGACATATATTTACGATCATTTCTCCAACGACTAACAGTTATTGTGGATCGTGTAGTTACTGTAGATCGATGACATCAATTCATTCAGGTTCTTTGATAAGGCATGATACTGGATACGATATCAATTTCATGGATTATTACGATGAAGTTTATTAATGCTAGATCTAGTTATCGCAATACGAGAGACCGAATTCGACAAATAAAATAATGTATTTCTGCAGAATGCAATTTATCTATTATATATTCTAATCATTAATTTTGTAAAGAGTCACATAAGATTATTTTTTAGATGTAAATAATAGGTACTATAAATGTTATATAAAAGTTTATTTCTGCATGTAGAAAAAAACTTTTATATAGATGAATTTATAATGATATAAATTAATAATACTTATATTTTATTTTTCTGCCTTATAAAATATACAAATATATTTGCAAATAATAATAAAATGCCTGCTGTGGAAAATGTGTTGGTTGTATAATTCATGTTTTGTGTAAAAGTATAAGATAGCTCATTGCATACAGATGATTAATATTCACTAGACAGTTTAAGTCGTTTGATATTCATTAGTTGCGTCTATCTTTTACTTGGACAAGTTACTTGGACCGTTCTTTAACATATTTTAACACTATCTTTTTGCTATATTCTGATACTTTAACGAAGTTTGTGTATCTCAAAATAATTATTCGGCTATTTCGATTTAAGAAATATGTGGCGATGGCACGATTATTTGATTTTTCTTTATATTAACTGTTCTCGAGTTTACGAGATGCTTCTCATCTGAATCTTCTACATGCGCGTGAGTGTATGTGTTTGTGTATATAAATGTGTGCTATTTCAACGAAATTTAACAGATTTGGAAACTAGTCTACGAGTTGCTCTGCCCTTTCGCGAGAATGCACTGGGAAATCTTTCGTAAACTCTTGCATAAAGTTCTTCGGTGTACTTGCTCATAAGCTGTATAATTTTATTGCATAATTCGCCGGAGAATTGCGAATTTTAAGTAAAAAGCAAATTGCTTGAAAAGTTTTAAACGTGTCTATTGAAATTATACTCTTATATATTGTTTTTCTTCAGCAACCAGCAATCAACTTGTTATTGACAGCCTTGATATGAATGCGGATTCAACTCTTGATATTCTTCCGCTATGTTTTCATTTACGTGCGTGTATAAAATTTCTATCTAGCTACAGAGTTAAAACATTTGATAAATAAAATAGCATCGATATTAAATTCTTTTTAACTGCCAAGCGTAAAGGCAGCATATATTTAATTTGTAAAGTGCCAATCGCGCAATGCACGACGGGTACGTAACAATCTTCGTATCCAATCATTCGTTGATAACAACATTGGTTTTATTTTACATTTTACGTGATTGCATTGTCAGTTGTTGCTAAACGAGCTGCTCGATATTCGCAGCTTATTCACAAAGCAAATAAACTTGACTTACCCTTTCTATATGGCCGCCGCTAACAACCTCCGGCGTGTTAACGCAAACTACTCTTTTCAAGCGTAGTTTGTTAACGTGAAAAGCCGAGCCGTAGCAGTACATCAGCACCATCGTCGTCGGAAAATAAAAACAGCAACACGCCAGGATTCTGAAAGAGGAGAAACAATAAAGAGCATTTTCCGGCTGAGAAATAATTAACGTTTCGTACACGAGCAAATGCATAAAATGGGTCAGCAAAGATGATATCACGCGCGCAAATGTAATATAAAATCACATTCATGACGTACACTACGAGAAATCTAATGTGATACGTGCGCGAAGTTTATTAGTGCTAGATATCAAAGTGCTTGTCGTATCTGTAATGCGATAGAAACAGTTTTGCGATATCTGTTCCAACTCTGTCTCTATCTCACATACTCTCTCTGCCTCTTTTCTACTCTCTAATTAATGTGCTTTATATAATATAATTAATGCACTTTACAATATTATATTTTGCTCTTTAATTTATGCTGAAAATGCATCAAATTTTTTAATTCATTTTTCACAGCAATATTTAGAAAAAAAATCCTGATATAAATCGATAACTCTGCTAAATAGATAATTTATCCAACATGACACGGGAAACAATTTCTAAGCTACCAGCGCGATAAAATTTTTACGATAATTCGAACGATCGTTCATATTTAACATCGGTTTAGACGAGAAGAAAACGTTCAGATATCACTATCTTTCACAGTCGATCGCCTCAGGTGCTCTTTTCAAGGCGATCAGTTGCGATGGCGCTCTCAACATTAAATTGCAATTGTCCGCAATTGATCACCGGTGTGGCGACCAAACGCGGCGGGCCAAGATCGTGAAACATCACTCTTATCACCGGCGTTCGCAGTAGCGATACCTAAGGGACGCTCTAGCGAAGAAGGGATCGCAGGCGAGAAGGCCGGACCCGTTGAAGTAGTAACCGCCTCTGGGGAGCACGAGAACTCCAAAGATCGCCACACTTGCTATCCAGGTGGTCGACATCACTGCCACGCAACCCTGCCGCATGTAATACTGTGTCAACATAGACAAAAAAAACGATCACTCTTTCTCACCGATACGCCAAGCACGTTATGGATCTGGTATGCATGTGTATTTGTGTATACAGTATGTATGTTTATTTGTATGTTTCTCTATCGACCTATGTAGAAGTTTGTTTGCGCACATTCTGCATTTCATGGCATAGTATACATTGGGGGCTGTTTACTTAAACGATTATTGTGTACCGTTTTTATCGAAAATTTCGGAGCGAATATTGGAAATCTCCATACGTTCCGATCAAACGTCTAATGCTAGTGTATGCATTAAATAAACAAATATATAAACGACAAAATCTGTGCTCGCAGCTCGAGCGTACAAATATATATATTGAACGATTTTACGGTCAAAGCAAAAATGTATGCAAACACCCTCGTTTGTTTAAAAATGTAATATTGAAGTAAAACGTAAATTAAAGAAAAATACTACAGAAATTTGGCAATTCTAATTCAGTTTTTAATATGTTCTTTAAATGTATGTCTTAAATCAGATGTAGAAATTTAATTAATGTTTTAAATATTTTCATATTTCATAAGATTTCAATCGATTTTATTTATTTATTAAATGTAAGAGAAAGAAAAAATATGAGAGAAAAGTAGAAAAACTACAAAGTTATAAAGTTATAAATATTAAACTTTTGCAAGATATTTTTGCTTGAAGTTTAACAAACTCGACTAACATTGAAAGATTTTAATTGTCAATTTTAAAAATTTCGATTTTCTCTATATTTTTAGACTCATTGCATCTTTAACAAACTCACTTTCCACCTGATCAAATATCTCAGCAAATAAAGAGAGCTTCACGGATCGGTTTTATCGATGGTCCATTTTTACGGCACAAACCCAGTGTGTTAAGTATTATCTAGATTAGGTGAAGCTCATTCTGATCTCGAAGAACGATCAACGGAATGACACTCGACCCTACTATTCCCTGAGCAGAAAGAATCGATACTTGTTCAAATATCCTCTATTTTTGTTTGTTGTTATAGATGTGAAAAAGAAAAAAGATTTGTTAACTCAAAAATATTAAAAAACATTGAAACCTAAGAGATTGAAATATTTTATTTTACCCACATAAAATACATTTACCAGAATATAAAAATTCGAGAAATGACAAATTTTTATTTCAAGTACTTATTATTTGAATGATATAAGTAGTTTAATCTTCTATTAGGTACATACTTTACATGCCACTTTAGATTTTATGAGATGCATAGAAGTTATGAGATGCATTCTGAATCAGTTAATTATGAATCTCTGAAAATATTGAAGACATTACTCGAGCATAAATGCCATAAGAGCTGACATTCGCTGCATTGTAGAAGTAACAAAGAGGTAAAGACGAAGTCTTATTGTGAACTTTGAACTAAATATGACTAAATACAGATAAAGCTAATGTAACATGGGATCCTATTTTCGAACTAACAGTATATGATAAGAGTAAATAAGATGGAAATGATAAAAATGGTTTTCTGATTTAATATTTTTATTTTTCTTTTGTGTAAGAGAAAATATAATGTAAAGATAAAGAATATTAATTATATTGTTAAGTAAAAGAAAAATGATCGTTATTTTTTAAAAATAGAATTAAAAAATATACACTAGGATTTTAAAATCATTAACAATAAGATTTCAATTTCCGAGATCATTAAAAACAATCAAGCAAAGAATTGGAAAAATTATCGTAATTCAGAAAAAGAAATCAAAGGAATATTAAATCCTTGAAATCTTTCTCTCTCCCGAAATCGATGAAAAGCAACAGCTCCCATCAATCAGACATAAAAAGACTGAAGCAACGACTGCTAGAATTCGATGAGCGACCGAACGTTCGATAGGTGGAAAATTACAAAATGAATAGAAGATACGACTCAGCGATTCGACGGACTTCTTACTTCTACCTCTGATTTTTATACGTTATAATCATTTTCTCATTTTAATGATTATGCAAATAAATTTATTGTCCGATATATATATATATATATATACCTATATATTTATTGTAAAGAAAAACTAATCAAGACATATGAAAATGTTGTTAATATCAATAATATTACGGTTCAAGAAATTGCATTCTTTGAAACATTTGTCAGTAACATTAGTAATGTGTGGAATGGATAATATATAATTACTTTGAAATAAAAGCACACATAGATAATTTATAATTACTTTCTATTCATTCTCGCTTTTAAATTCAGATATTTTTCTGATACCCTATTATCGAAACAATCTGTAAATGAAACATTTGCAATTGACTTTATCTTATCATTTCTTTATCTATAAATTTTTAATTATTTATTTTTATTTTTAACTTTGATTGAAGATTAGTTATACAATAATTTTAAACTATCCTTATATATTATACTTCTATCATCACATAAATTTTGTCCCATTTATGTGATTCATTGTTATGGATGTTGGAATAGAGGGATATACTGTAGGCGAATAAGAGGCCGCAGTGGCACTTTGCATTCTGATGCGCTTTTAAATCTCCTCCGAAATTCATTTTGGCGCTTAAGCCAGGGTAAACCAACGCGCATCCAAGCTTCGACAAACGGCAGTGTGAAAGCACGGTACCTATGCTATGGTTGTGGGAAAAGATCTCGCTGATATCGCTCACAAACTTTGCAGTTGCCGCGACGCAAAAGTTGCTTTTAAAACGACCGATCGAATCGCTTTTGTTGCCGCTCGGAAGGTGATGCACAATTACTAGATTATAATTTAATCCGGCTAATAATCGACAGGTATAGATTTTAGAGCTAATTTAACGGATTAAGAACTTTCTAGCACGTTTAGTTAAACTATAGTTTAATGCGGCTCCATTTTTAAACAAACTCCAAGAAAATATGGAAAAAATGTAGTCATAACCCGCAATCCGCGCAATAACTCTCCTCCTTTCTCTCTCTTTTTCTTTCTTTTGTAATATATTTAAAAAATTTTTTTTTATTTTCTTTTTTGTTTTTACAAATAGATTAACAGCATAATTAATACAAGTATTTAAACAATGATCAGCTCATCGTCAGTTCTACTTTATTCTTTTACTATAGAAATAGCACGAATGTATAATTTTCACACTTTTTCACTGTATTGCCCAAACAAAAAGTTGCTATCTATTATTTTTATTTCATTGTTGAATAGCATTGAATATTCTAGATCCCAAAGACATTAAGGGATTATTTTTGAAATGGCATTTCTATTATTTTCTGTTGAATTTTGATCTTTTTTTATTTCAGTGAATAGCTCACGTGTCTATATGTATGTATTTGACGTACTACCGTACAATGTACATATAACTGCATAATACATGGTAGATATAGAATTAAAAAAGATATAAACTTGTGCGAGAGCATAGCTTCGGAGTATCGATATTTTAGTTATATCGAGATTAACTTTCCAGGCATCACAACGAGAAACATTTTTATCTTTTAAACTCATAAATAATATCAAATTTTATCTTATGAATAAACTGGTCGTAACATATTATATAATAAGAAATATATTGTCATCAGTCTCAAATTCAATAAAGTATTGTATAGGCTTTTGTATTATATTTATGAGTAAAATATTTAATTGTCTCAAATAAAATAATTAAAACTGAATCAAGACGAATTCTATTCTCTTGCAAATTTGAAAGTGTCAGATAGGTTTTATTAATAAACGTCGTTTTTATTGCAATTATTTTAACATGAAATGACAGTCATCTGCAGTCAATTAATTGTTTAATCTGTTTTAACAGATATCGTAATTAAGAGCAGCAAACGAGAACAAATTTTACAGTCGAATGAATAGAAAGAATAAATCTCTCTCTAGATAACAGAAACGCTTGAAATGGGTTCGTTTGATTGTAAAATACTATTTAGTTATAAAGCAATTCTATTCTGCTCTATATACCATAATAGCAATGACTAGTAAAAAAAATGTGTATATATTCGGACATTATTTAAAGGAGAAATTTTTAACATGTTATAACGTAATATACATATATATATTCTTTTAGCGTACATCTAATAGTAAATATACGTAATTTATTGGAATAAGAAAATAAAGAAAAAATGTATTAATTATTTTTCATAAATAAAATTAAAATATTATTAAATATAATTAAAACTATATTTTAAAATATAAATAAGCCATATTAAAAAATTTTGTTTAAAAAAGGTTGCAATTTATTATTATTTTCTTAGATGTTGTCGAAAGGTAAATGTGTGACAAATTTATTTGTTAGTTCAATGGTTGATAAATAAATATAGACAATAACTCACCCTTTTAGAAGAGTGCTTGTGATAGCGATGAGGATGTAGCATGCAAACGTAACGGTCGATTGCCATGCAGACGAGGATAACAGCGCTCTGTTGAGTCAAAGCGCCTCTAAGAAGTGCCTGGAACAGTAAAAGTTTCCGAAAGAGCAAACGAGATTCTTCAGGTGTCGTTCTCTTAGTTTTTTTCAGATAAAATAACTTATAACTTTCTGAAAAAGTGCATAGGTCGACAAGTTACGCTACGAGAAGAGTCGTTGTTAGACGACAAGTTTTGATGAGTCAAGAGAGAACATCGAAAAAATCATAACTATACTTGTAAGCATCATCACATCTCTTATTATACTTTTTTATAAATTTAATTTATAAATTAATTAAACAATTTTACTTTTTATTTTTTTTAATTTGTTAAATAGATAGAAACAAGAATAAAGGCTACGCAAATTTGTATTTATTATTATGTGTTTAAATTATTATGTATCTCATTAATATAGCATTATGTATCATTATATAGGAAGTTAATAGATATCAAGTTATTAATGTCTGCAATACTTTTATTTATGTATATAATAACATGTAGAATCCTAGGCAAAATTAACCATTGCAAACTCATGTAGAATTGTATTAAAAATGATCCATTGCAAACTTTATGTAGAATCCTACATTGCAAACCCATGTACATAGAATTGTTGAAAAATTATCGATTATAAATTCCATGTACAATCGTAACAAAGTAATGAAATAAAAAAAAAATGCGCCAAGTGAAAGTAGAAACTTGTACCAGTGGAAATTAAAGTTGCAGACATATATAGAGTCGTAGTATAAGAATCATAAAATTTAAATTTGCAAATGTAGAATCGTAGTACCATAAAAAACTTATCTTTTAAAAAAAAGATAAACAAGATGCAAGTCCATGCGCCATGTAAAAAGAAATAAAAAAATTTTAGTTAAAAAAACTGGCGCGCTACTAAGTTTCAAAATTACAATGCACCTTAAAGTAACATTAATTAATTTAAACACAACAATATTTTAACTGTAATGAGTTTAAAAGTAACAATTTAATTTTAATATTGTTAGAATATTATTTAGCAGCGCTCCCAGTTTTTTTAACTAAAATTTTTTTATTTCTTTTTTACATGGCGCATGGACTTGGCATCTTGTTTATCTTTTTTTTAAAGATAAGTTTTTTTATGGTACGATTCTACATTTGCAAATTTAAATTTTTACTGATTCATTATACGACTCTATATATGTCTGCAACTTTAATTTTCCACTGGTACAATTTCTACTTTCACTTGGCGCAATTTTTTTTTTATTTCATTACTTTTGTTACGATTGTACATGAATTTATAATCGATAATTTTTCATACAATTCTATTGTACATGGGTTTGCAATGTAGGATTCTACATAAGTTTGCAATGATCATTTTTAATACAATTCTACATGAGTTTGCAATGGTTAATTTTGCCTAGGATTCTACATGGGTTTGCAATGATTAATTTTTTATAGGATTCTACATGGTTTGCAATAGGATAGGATTCTACATGGGTTTGCAATGGATAATTTTTGTTAATGGCGTGCCCTTAACTGGTCGCCTTTTTTTACCTTTTTTTAAAGGTGAGTTTTTAGAGATTATATCATTCATTTTTGTATATTTTTATGACCGGAATAGAACAATTATTAAACATGTTTATCTAAACTTCTTTGCTTAAAATGATGTGTACAATCATATCCTAGAATCCTGATCATTCCTCCTAAAGCACCCTATTTATATAAATTTACCCCATATGTGTGTGTGTGGTGTGTGTGTGTGTACTAATGTCGAGCATTTTTTATACATTTTCTATTAAATTTGATAAAAGTTGCAGGATTTCGAAAAAGAAAAAGTTGACACAGACTTTTTCCTAAACGGCGATTTTCAAGGTTATTTAAAGGTCACTTATATTTTCAAATAGAATTACCTTAATTTTTCTCATATAAATCGATTCCTCGCAATATTTACTATAAAAAGTTGTAAAGGTATAATTTTTACATAATCTTACATAAACTTCGAAATATTACAAATATTTTATTCTATGAAATATTTCAGTTTATGTAAAATTATGTTAACTATCTTTTAAATTATTCACTTTAGCCATCTTACCCTTACCACCTTTTATAGTGAATATTGCAACAAATTGGTTTATATATATAATATATATATAACATCAGTTATTATTAATTGATGTTTACATTTATTTTTAGACTTACTAGAGCTCTAATGCTCCACTTTTTTGCAAAAACTGTTTTTTCTACAGATTTCAAATATGCTTTTAAATGATGATTGAATATTTCCTTTTTTTAATTATTTTTATTATTATTTTTCAATCTCAATCAACTTTATAACTTTATGCCAGCACGATACAAATACATGTGTCTTTATTTTTTTTTATTATTTTCATTATTATTTTTCAATCTCAATCAACTTCTATAACCTTATGCCAGCAGGATACAAATACATGTATGTCTTTATTATTGTATCAACTCTTGTCTTTTCCATGTAACCATGTCTTCATAGTTTGAATTATCCCTTCATCTCTCAATCTTTCGCAGAGATTTAATTAATTAAATACACTTCACACAAATATAAGTTTGCTGGAAGATATACAGCAAACGATAAAATGTAAAAACATGATTACGTGGAAAGAACAAGAGTTGGTACAGTAAGGCAAGTAAGTAAGTACATGTAATGTATCGTATGGCATAACGCTATATCCGCGAGCAATAATGTGGCTGG